TAAATGTTATATAAAATTTAAATAGATTATATTTCTAAGATGATCTTGTCTTTTCAAACGAGATAACTCTCTCACTGTTTACTGTAGGATTTGTCATTCTAGTCACAATTTGATATGATGACTTATTATGATATGGTACTAACAGCCATATTTACATTTATAACTACATAACTATATCATAAGTTTTCTACATTAGAGATGCCTGGTGACCACATGGATGCCTACCACTGACCTCTATATATATATATATATATACAAGTATGCATATATAGAGGTCAATTTTAACATGTCGCCACTGAAATTACTATTTAAAAGTCCAATTATTAGACATCAAAATACGGTCACTACCTAAAATTAATATCAACGTAAATTACAAACAAAATAATATTTTTGTTTTAATTTTTGCACTCGCATTTTAAGTAAGCGAGCAATAAAATGTCAGTTTGATAGATTGATAGTCACATGTTGGTCTGGGATGGTCTGAAATGTTGGTTTGCTCCTATGTTTATTTGAGACAGAAATGACAAAATACTAAAATATTGAAACATTTTGTTTTATTGTAATTAAAGGTAGCCATATTTCCTCCTTTCAAAATAATTTCAAAATATGTACAATTAAACACGTACCCATGCAATTGAAAAAAGCATTGTTAGTACCTATACATATAAGAGACACAATTTGAGTTCTCAAAATGAAAAAAGAGAACATTTACACACATTTAAATTTATTTAGTAATGTATTAAAATATACCTACACAATATTTATAACATTATGTTTTGGGATGATTTAGAAGTATTCATTGTCATCATCCTTACAGTCCATCACAAGTCCACTGATGAACACAGGCTGCCAAAAAAAGGCCACAAAGCACGGCCCTGTGCCACCCGCATCCAGACTATTCACTTTGATGACAAGATCGTACTATGAATTTCTACGTAACGATTTTTTTTGAACTAAATTAATATTGAAATTTACTTAGATAACTCTCCGATACAAAGAAGTAACAGAAACTTTTTTATATTGTTATAACTTTTCATAGTTTGAAGAGAGAGAAATTACCTCTGTGTTATGTTTCCGTTTGTGTCTGGTAGGAAGTGAGGAGTTTTTACACTTTCACATCTTTCATACTCAAATTCAGTTAAGCAAAGCATTTTTATTCTTAGCAGATAAGTTAGTAAATAATATGTAGGATAGAAGATACGGTTAAGTTCATAATATAAAATAAACTATTGACTGATTTCATCATAAATCTTGCGACGTCACTGTAAGTATTACAAAATAATATAGCTGAAAAGACTTGAAGACGGATAACTGCTAATATTCATCCATGAGCTACGTGTAAAATTTTTACAATGGAAAAATCAGGAATTCATAAAGCGAATGAAAAAAGTAAAAATTTGGTTAAAACCATGTCGTTATGAAATGCTGAGTTTTTTTTTAATAGAAGAGGGGTAAACGAGCATGCGGCTCACCTGATGTTTAGTGACTACCGCCGCCCATGATCAACCGCAACACCAGGGGAATTGTAGGTGTGTTGCCGGCTCTTTAGAAAGGAGTAAGCTCTTTTCTTGAAGGTCCCCAGGTCGTATCGGTCCAAAATCGCTGGTGGTAAAATATTACACACAAAGAGGTCGTACGCGGAAGAAAACTCCTTGTGAAACGTACAGTGGTGGACCGCCAAGCATCCAGATGGTGTGTATTGGAGAAAGGAACGGCAGTTATACATCATATGTTTTAAAGCCGTAAAGAGTTGTGAGAACTGATTAATTGTGGTGGGGGTTGAGCTAGCGTAGGTAGATTATCGGGCAAAATTATTTGATACCTTAATTATTTCTATTAGTAATTGAATATTTTCGCCGAACTTTATGAAAATGTTTACCTGAATAAAAAAAAATTTACTTTGATACAGTATACTTGCAGATATTCGTGACCGTTATTTTATTATGTACTATATATTATTTAATGTATACCTACGTCTGTAAAACTCAATAGAACAATTTACATGTGGTTAGAATTGTATATTTAAATAAGAGAAAGAAAGAGGTGATATGCCTTTTCATAAAATCATGAGCTGCAGTACTATTAGAGGCCCCTTCATTTTCCAGTTCATCATTATCACCATAATCTTCGTCGTCATGGTCATCCTGGAACTAGACTACGAGTCATAGTTGCCCTTTTGAATGATAAATTCCTCCGTTATTTGGTCAATGATGTGGTCGTTTTCATATACTTCTTCTCTATATCTTTCACTTTATGGTATAATTTTGCAAATTATAACGATGAAAACAATTAACAACAAGAAATAAGAAAAACAATTAAAAACAAGAAATAATAAAACAACTAACAACAAGAGGTAATGAAAACAATTAACAAAAATAAACTAATAAAAAAAGGTGTCACTATAATTGCTGTCAAGTGTACGGTAGCCGATTGATACGTGCGAAGCGAATAGACAACGAGCATCGACTATCGACTAACGAACCAATCACGTTTAGTGTCAGCGTGGTCAACGTCATATCGACCAATAAAAAGTGTGCACAGGACTCGTGCCGGTAACTATATTATGTGCCAAATCGATTGAGAAAAACGGACAACGGCCACAGATATGAGCCGAGTGTCAAAAGACGTAACTTACAAAATCTCAACTTAGATGTGATAACAATATCTAAATATTGATATTATTCACACTTCTAGGTCGACATATTTTTTTTTGTTTCTTAAATAATATTGTCTGTGGTTCCTATAAACATCGTAAAATCTTACGGTACATCGCGAAAAATGTGTTATATTTTATATTTCAATTTATGGTAAGTGTAACACAGCAATTCATTTAATAACAGTTTCATATTAAAAAAAAAATATTTGAAGCAATATAATCACCATATTGAGCTTTTGCAAATTAAACAAAACGCGCGTTACGTCAGTTCGTTCTAAAAGAAACGTGAGCGAGAGATGCGTCAATTTTTTTGGGCGGGTCCGCATGCACCGAATAAAATAAAGTTCTTATATAATATTGAAAATAAAGTTTTATCTTTTGAATAAGTACGTACTTATTCGGTATCGTTATCACTCGAATCTTTATATATGTCATAATTTAATGCTTTTTGTTGTTAAATGAATAAAGTACTTTATAGCAATAGATTATTTTTCTTTTACAGCGATCTCTTACATAACTTTTTAATAATAGTTAATAAATATATTTATTATATCAATCATAATAAAAGAAATCATTATAAATAAAGAAAGTGCTACATATAAAATGTGCCTATATATTGAAGGTATGTAAACCCTGGTTAAACGACCGAAAGGTCATTGTCCGTTTTTCTCAATCGATTTGGCACATACTATATAGTAACTCTCATAGAAAGCTATTTAACATACGACGCAGTGTACTACTAAGCGACTATTTTGATAATTTGTTTAATTATTATGATGACACTGAATTTAGATTAGAATAGAATTGAACAGGGCATTAGATTCAGCAGTAGGTGTACGCTGCTTATAAATCCGCTGCTGGGATTTACTTGTAGGTACCGCAATTTCGTAAAACGTGCACTTTTATTTTAATAACTTTATTTAGTAACCAGAAACTGTATATCTATTTTATGATCCAAGTGAGTAATCAGGGTCTTATTTATAATCCCCGGGAAATATAAATATGGCAAGTCAAATCGGGCTGCGTAGATAATGCTGATTTAAGCTTCATTATCTCAATTTTTTTACGTGGGGAAATTTTCTCAACCCATGTGGCCCGTGCGAGAATTGATCATGTCGGACTTGCACCGACTAACCCTATGGTGTTCCACCGCATATTGCCTATGCCGTATCTTTTTATAACTTTGCCCATTAAGTGACGGACTCTATTCACAAAGCATTTTTATCATATTGGCTGCTCATATTGGCCATTATTCAAACTATCTGGACGTTACGAATAATGCCCTATAAATAACTTGGTCCGTAACATCTATATAATAAACCTGACTCATTCGAACGCTTAATAATAGTGAACAGCAAATTGTAATTATGAATTGCAAATTTTCCTTATTCAATACAACTTTACCAACCGTAACCTTCGCTTGAGAAAGAAACAAAACAATTGGTAAATATATTTATATTTTTTTAAAACATTAATACAGAACTAAAGAACGATGGCACAGATAATATTTATATAAAGTCTTATTTACATTTTTAATGACTTCTACATTTTCTGGTGAGATTTGCAAATTAATTAATAACGCTACTTACGGAATTCCTTAATTAAGCATTTTCTTATTTAAAGATGTTAAAATTAATCAGCTAAGATCCGACTAATAACATAAAATGATGTGTCTTACCTAGTTTGAAGAGCACCACACGTTACAGTTACCGTTACAGCCTATTAAAGTCAACTGCTAAACAAAAACATAGCCCCCCAAAGATTGGCTCATATTTGCCATAGTTGGCACACTTGGCAAGCGGGTTGAGAACCGCAGTTTTTTCATTTTTATTCGTTATTAGGTAGACGCAGCTGCCCATCTCCTGATTTGTTTCCCTCTGTCGCCTCTTACGACACCCACGGGATGATATCGAGTAGTGAATGTATCACAGCACCGCTAGCCCTCCCCCCCAAATTGCGTGTACTATCCTTGTCACCACTAATCTCAGCAAAGTTTCACCTGATGATGCTTCGTGTAGAGGCAAAACACGTGTCGTATTATCGACGTTGGTGAGCTGGTTCTTAGTATAGTGGTGTTGGGATTAGTGGCGACGGGGATTGTGCGCGTAATTAAGGGAGGTTGGGAGATGCTTTTCAAACCAAGTACACACACTTTATTCACACACTTTATTTCATCAGCCATCACTGAGTCTATTTCTCTTAATGATTCTTCGTCCATCACCTACTTCATATTTCTACAGAAACATTAAACAAAATGCTATTTAGTTTCAAATACTATTCCCAATTGACAAATTATCTTCTAATCTTCCTGGGTAATCTTACAGTGTTTCCCAGTACTTCCTTGTTAATGCGTCATTTCTTCCCTCCTATTCCCCCCTATGAGCCCCTGAGTTGTGGAGAGGCTCGCCAAGGTCATTCTGTCAGAGTTCACTGCGAGGGTTCTGTCCTGGCTGCTGAGCAGCCTCTCCGCTGAGTTCAGGCTGGTGAGGGAGAGCCGGCTCTGATCGGATCCGGTCGTGACCGGGTTGCTCTGCCCAGTTGCAGTTGCTGTGATGGGGGTCGTAGCGCGGGGGAGGGTTTTAGTGAGGGTTGTTGTCTGCGTTGTTGGTGGGGAAGTGCGAAGTAAAGCAGTTGGTTTCTGTTCTCTACCGCTACAGACCTGGAAAAGAAATTTTAATTGGTTGTATATATTACTAACGATCTGCCCCGTCTTCGCACGTGTAATTTCTTGATATCGATAACACCCACCTACCGGGTCTAATTGTGAATCAAAACTATCCAGGGGTACAAAAAATTTCATCGAATTCGGTTGAGTTGAGTTGTTTTTGCGAGACTATGACATTGAGACGTCAAGCATCTCAGTCTAAAGTGACAAGTCCAGATCACCTGATAGTCCATAGACAACTGCAAACAAATGGGGTTTCAAGTGCGTTGTCAACTCTTACACTAATATGGAACGCCTCACAGCCTTTAATTATCCTGGCTCTGCCCTTCAGACCGGACACCGCAGCGTGAGCACTGCCACTCGGCGACAGAAGTAGGCAAGAACCTGGTAAATACCTAGACGGACATCTAGGTAGAAATGGAGTTCTTTCACCTGGAAGATTCATCTTGTTCTTATCGTAGCGGAAGTCACTTAGCTAGAAGAAATTCTCCGAGAACATGTGCTGGCAGAAGGGTCACGTACCTAGTGGTGGTTCTCCTATTCCTTATACTGGCAGAAGAGTCACGTACCCGGTAGTGGTTCTACCAGTCCTTATACTGGCATAAGAGTCACGTAACACGTACCTGGTATTGGTTCTCCCAGCCCTTGTGCTGACAGGGTCACGTACCTAGTGGTGGTTCGCTCAGTCCTTATACTGGCAGAAGAGCCACGTACCTGGTAGTGGTTCTCTCAGTACTTGTGCTGGCAGAAGGGTCACGTACCTAGTGGTGGTTCACCCCGTCCTTGCGCTGGCAGGGTCACGTATCTGGTGGTGGTTCTCACAGTCCTTGCGCTGGCAGAAGGTTAACGTACCTGGTAATGGTTCTCTCAGTCCTTGTGCTGGCAGGGTCACGTACCTGGTGGTGGTTCCCATCGCAGACAGAAGGTTCACGTACCTGGTAGTGGTCCTCCCAGTCCTTATGCTGGCTGGGTCACGTACCTGGTGGTGGTTTTCCCAGTCCTTATGCTGGCAGAAGGCGCCACAATAGCGGGCTGCGTTGCATCCCGAGCACGTTTCCTGAGCCTTGCGACCACAGTTCCAGCAGCACTGGACAAGCGATTCACATGTACACTGTTACTGTTACAAACTATTAGAGTCCACAGCTGAACGTAAGCCTCCTCCGCAGATTGTCTCACAGGTGAGATATTTTCCATAGTTGCCACGCGTGGCAAGCGAGTGGACAACCGCAGTTTCTTATCATTAGTCATTATTAGGGAAGACACTGCTGCCCAAGTCCTGGTTTGTTTACCTCTGGCGCCTCTTACGACACCCATGAGATTATATGTACACGATGAATCATAATATTAAACAATTCCGTCCGATCCGAAAGCGAACATATGTACCACTATGATATTACTGGCAACACTATATTAGAGAATATAGGGGGAATAAAATGGCTAGCAGTTGAATGTACCAAGCTGATCGTCAGAAATTAAAATTAAGTTAAAATAAGTTACTGTGTAGTGGTGGTGTAAGAATATCTAATATCGTTTGTGGGTGTCGTAAGAGGTGACATGGGGAAACCAGGAGATATGCAGCAGCGTCTTCTTAATATTGTTACAACTAGAAATTTAAATAAAAAAGTCCGTCAAACGTGGCAATATGATATCTCCCTCTCCCTCATGAGGTAATCTTTAATACAGCAGTGGATTAGACTAGGTTGTAATGAATATGCCAATGAATGGAAAAAACGTTGTTAGTGCGTGGTACAGTCGCCAGCTATACGGTTGCAGCACGAATGAGTCCGACTGAAACAAGGAAGGACCACGGTCTTATAGAATACCAGCATAAAGAAACGGCTTAATGTTTTTTTCTTCTTTTGTAATGGACGCGTATTGTTGCTTTTTGCCAGTGTCAAGTATGTAATAAAATTATCCTTTAAAATAATTTGTTTCATTTTTTTTTTCATTTACAACACATGACAAATCATTAAGTTTTTAGAAGATTATAACGGCATTTTGAACCAGTCGGTGACGATAGTATCTCAAGGTCTAAGCAGACTCTTTATCTTGAGATACACATCACATTGGAAACACTTGTTTCATCGTTTTCAAATATTGCTCACATGCTTAGACTTTAATACACAAAATTGCACCAATTTTACTTACGTTTTTTTTAATAGGATAGGATGACAAACTAGCACACAGTCCATCTGATGTATATAGGTAAGTGGTTGCTGCGGCCCATAGACATCTACATCTATCCTCGATTACAAATCAAAATGCAGATGCGTTTTCACCCGTGAGGACTAAGACGGAATACCTCGTTTCCAGTAAAAAGGGTCTCCGGTTCTCTACACTCACCATACGAAACACAGCAGCATTAAGCTACTATTTGACGCTGGTATTCTGTGAGAGCGTGGTCCTTCCCCGGTCGAGTCAACCCATTCGTGCTACAACTATACTACTAATATAACTGCAGCATGGTACCACCACATATAAAAGTAAATCTGTTTCAAATCATTACTTAAACATTAATGAGTATTAACATACTCAATGTTAGGGCTGAATCTGAATGACAGGATGAGAAATTGTGTGATAAGAGAAGAGTGTGGTTTGTAAGATGATGTTGCGACCAGGATTAAGAAAGGAATGCTTCGGTGGTTTGGTCATGTGGAAAGAATGAATGAGGAAAGAGTGACAAAGAAAATTTATGTTGCAGAAGTGAATGGCAGAGTCGGAAAGGGGCGTCCTAGGCGAAAATTTATCGAAATCGATTTATTGAAAACGGGCGAAATCCGACGAACATGTATGTGTAGGTATATGGATGTGAAGGAGGCGAGAGAGGTATGTCAGGATCGTGCCAAATGGAAGTCTGTAGTCTCTGCCTGCCCTTCTAGGTGACAGGTGTGAGTGTTTACGTTTATGTATGTAGAAATGTATTGGTGTGTTTGTGTGAATGTGGCACGTACGTTCTGCGGCGCGCCGGGGCTGCGCGGGGGGGAGTGTCGGCGCTCGGCGCGGGCGCCCGGCTCCAGTCGGCCCTCCGCCGCGCCCAGCGCGCGCTGCAGCTCTGCTAGCGCCTGCCGCTTCACCTGCACCCACAGAGTTGTTGAAATGCCTCCCAACTCCATATTTGGACATATCGCCAGGTTTTGATCTAGAGTTAGATGCTATAATTCTAGGAGAATGTCTGCGTGAACATTAAAGCATGACAAGGTGTTTATGACTTCTCAAATAACGATTTTCAATCTGTGACCAGTTCATATTCATCTGAAGTAAGCCAGTGAGCTTACTCCTTTCTAAAGGGCAACTCACCTACCATTCCCCTGGTGTTGCAGATGTTCATGGGCGGCGGTAGTCACTTAACATCAGGTGAACCGTATGCTCGTTTGCCCCCTCTTCTATAAAAAACCATATGGTTATGTTACCATCTATAGCCACTAATTTTTTTGGCATTTCCCATAGTACCCCCACAGGATGTAATGATATGATATGGGGTTATAAACTCTTTTTAACAGCGAGTGATGCCATTACCCATGGCATCACTTGCTGTGAAAAAAACCGTATAGAATAATACTTTGAGTATAATGGCTAAAAATTAAGAAGAACCCGGGAATTTATTTAACACTCAGACCTGATTGACCGCATCCTCTGCCCGTCTTCTGACTTCAGCGACTCTCTCTTCCGTCTGTCTCACAGCTGTTGCCATTATCTCATTTGCGGCTCTTTTGATCTCATTACTTTCTATTGTTTCCACTCCTGGAACAAATATACTGGATTGAGTAATAAAAAGACTGCAAAAGAGACTACAGCTTTCACTATCTGTTTTTTCTCTCTTCCATTTTGATGAGATGCTATGAATTATATAATATATTTACCAACTTCCCATTATTTTAATCCTTAAAGACCTAATTATATAAAACGCCGTGGTACGATGTTCGTCCACGCTAATCACTGATTTTAATGCAATTTTGTAAATGTGAATTGCTTGCTTCAAATTAAGAGATAGGATGGTTTTTAACCGGATAAGTGACCCTCACATTTCTTTTATTGTGAATTTATGGATTTTTTATAGGACAAAGGGTCGTCGGAAAAGGCAGAACGGAACTGCGCGTTCAGCTAGTAAAATACCGTTACCGTTATATACCGTTACATACCGTTACCGTTACAGTCTATTAAAGTCCACAGCTGAGCATGGAACATTCAGCCTGTAGCTGTTCCATAAATTGCTCCACAGGGGGGGATATTTGCCACATTTGCCACGCTTGGTTTGTTTTTTGTCTTCCGAGCTGTTTCCCTCTGTCGCTTCTTACGAGACTCCTAGGATAATATGAGGCAGTGGATATCCTTATACCGCCACTACTCGGTAAAAAAATTAAAAAAAACAAATAAATAAAAAATTTAAACCCACCGTCCGAAGAAGAAAGGATAATAATAAAAATAAATTAAAGTAATAAACAAAATCCGTAAATAATAGTTTTATTCAATATAAAAAATGTAATAAAGACTGCGGAATACTCACCCCTCTGCTGCAATATGGCGAGTGCCCGTTTCGTCTTCTCCACCATGCTAAGAATGCAGTTAAGCATTGTGTTAATGTTACGCCACTCGTCGTCGCTCTTCAAAGATCCAACTCCTCGCGGCTCTGAGAGCGACGCGTTCATTGATGATACGTCCCGGACCGATATTCCACCTGACGATGAATAAGGGTGACAAACGAGAATACAGAAAATCTGACGGTAAGTGGAAGCTTAGGCCCATAGATATCTGCATTAATCCTCGATTATGAATCAAAATGCAGATACGTTGTCACCTCTGAGGACTAGGATGGAATGTCTTGTTTCCAATTAAAAGAACCGAATTCTTTACACTCACCATACGAAACACAGCGGCATTAAACTGCTATTTTACGTTGGTATTCTGTGAGAGCTTGGTCCAAACATTCGTGTTACAACGATAATATAGCTGCACTTTGGCTTTACCACGTAAGACATATATTCTCTCACTGTTTCTTTTAGGTAAATAATTATCAACTTCATCACTTTTTTATAATATTGGAGTAACAAATGAATTCCCGGACTATCTGACAGTGTGGTTACCTATAACTGTAGTCTGTGGATACTCGCGATCAACTGGATAGTTGCGTTGTCACCTCTGAGGACTAAGATAGAAATACCATTACAGTTCACTGCTGAACATAGGCCTCCTCCCATAGATTACTTTATAATAGGAATATTTGCCATAATTGCCACGGTTGCCAAGCGGATAGACAACCCATTTTTATAGTGATATCTTATATTTATCCGATTACTACACATGGAATAAAACAAATTTTACGGATTCTATCGCGTTTAAGTTTATTTTTTTTTAATCTTGACGTTTCGAGCATTTTCCATCGTACATGGTCACGGGGACGACTATGGGCGCTGGAAAGACAAACACAATCATACACGTGGCACTGCAGCCTTTACGCTACCAAGCTCTTCGATTGAAGTAGTTACGACAGGGAGGGAGAGGATATACTGACAGCTTCCTGGCGCAGTGGCTTAGCAATGAGTTACAGCGCTAAGGGCCGCAGGTTCGAATCCCGCACGGAACAAGTATTTGTATCGCCTTCAAGTAATTGTTCCGTTTCTGGATGTCTGTCCTTGTGAAGTTTGTGTTTGTAAACTGCCTCCACGATACAGGTGAAAATCCTAGTGTGGAGGTAACGTTTAAAAAAATTATTAACTATTTCTGAGAATGTCTTTACAGAATAATTCCATAACTGAGTTTAACCCGGCTCGGGATTCGAACCCGAGCCCTCATGATCAACAATCGCGTTTACGATCACTAGACCAAAGGAGACAGCCAAAAGAAATTGACGGTGTTACTTCACCCTCGTTTCTCGGAAAACACGTAAAGCCTTTGGTCTGATCTCTCTCCGGTCGTATCGGATTACCCTCCCATCGGATTATAATAGTGAGGGAATAGAGAGTTCATCTGTGCTGGCGCATACTTTCAGGCACTGTAATCCTGTCCTATGGCTAGTCTCCGTTGAGGCTGACAACCGTGACCGATACCAGATATGGAGGACATTATTATAAAATTCCTTACCATCTCTCCTTTCGAGTCCGGGTTCTCCTTGTCCACTGTGGTAAGTAGGGTATGGATGACCATAATCGAAGAGACTGGCGTTACTGGGCAGTGGGCAGAGGAATGGGGAGGGGTTGAGGAGTAAACTTGATGGCGTTCGTTTCGCTTGTGGGGGGCAGTCTTCGTGAGAGCCGTTGGATTGTGATGCATCGTAGAACCTGAGATAAAAAATTGATTCAGAACGTTCTTTTTTATGTGATGATTTTTTTTTAGGTGATTTCATATGATCCTGAAGAACAATTTATTTTCAAACATAATCATTAAATTTGAATTTATCGACAATCACGCAGAAATTAACATACGACTTAAAAACATCTTTGACTTAAAGGTATGTTTTTTTAAGAAATCCAACAATGTATAAAATATAATTAAAAAATATAGAATAAGAAAGACAAAGTATAGCCTATAATAAGTTAACAAACCTGAATTAATTCGTTTGAAGGGTAAAGAAAGGTTCATTAATTAAATACTTTTAATGTACCTTATATCTGAGTGAGGTCCATTCTACACACGCCATACCAAACAGCACATTTAATGCTATTGTTTCGTATGGCGAGTGTAGAGAACCGGAGACTCATTTTACCAGAAAGGAGGCATTCCATCTTAGTTCTCAGGGGTGACAAAGCATCTGCATTTTAATTCTGAATTGAGGATAAATGTAGATGTTTATTGGCCACAGCATGCTCTCATCAGTCAGGTGGACTGTGTGTCGCCCTTATTGTATAAAATAAGAAAAAAGTAAACACAATCCAGTATTAATTAGCTGAGTACAAAAATAAGTTATGTTTTGAGTCGCACCGAACAAAAGAAAGGGGTACAACCCATCTGAGTTCGAATCCTTTGTAAAGGCAATTTAAAGTCATAGAAAACTTCTTCGCAAAAGACTTGGAATTTATTGAATCTCTATTATTGTAAACGACACAACAATAGAATCGAAAGACAAAGCAGAACTTAGTGTAAAATGTTTAGGGCATAAATATCTGTGGTCTAAGTTTAAATCTCAAGTGAGTGCGTGTAAAATTTATTAACACACGAGCAGTCTTGGCCGGTGCGAGCATATTTTGCTCCTTGCATTTGTATATTTCTTTGTTTATAATATGTGGTTATAATATGTGTAATAATGCGGTAATTCGTTATATTATATACAATGTATAATCGTCAGTGGTGTGTTACCTAACGTAATGGTGTTGGGATTAGTGGTTCTGGTATTAATGGTGAGGGGAATAGTGCACGCAATTGAGCGAGGGCTTTGGGTGCTGTTAAAACTAGGTAAGACTCATCATTTTATTTCGTTGAGCGGATATGAGCGAAGTAATGCGTAACAACTTTCGAACATGTGTATCAAATAATAATTTTTTTCTTGCTTTAAAACGAAAATATGTTAATAATATTGTTCATAGAATTTTTAGTGCATGTATTACGAGTAACAAGAATCCAGATTCCTCGGGACATGATTTTTATTACTCATAAGCACTTACGCACGCTTATCGGTGAGCGTGCGTAAGTGCTTACGCGCGTAGTGCAGGAATATTTTATTTTATCAGATGGTACCACTCCTCTAAAATAACCTACATAATAACTTATGCCTAGTCCGTCCGGGTGGAAAGAACTCTTTTTTCTATTTTAGTCACCCAACAGCAGTGCGTGTCTGGCTGTATTCCGATATATAGAGTCAGAATAATAATAAGTTATAAGGTATTTCTTCTTGGTCCTCGGAGGTAATAACGTAATATAAACAATGTAAACGTTTTTTTTTGAAGTTGATTGCAAGTGTTCATGGGCTGCAGCATGCAATCATCACCAGGTGGACTGTTAGTCCATTTGTCACTTTAATTGGGTATAACATCTTCAGATGTTAATCTCAGCTGAATTAGGTTAAGTTCTGACGATCGAGTGACATCGGATAATTCATCCAAAACGTTAAACTAAAGTTATATAGATTAGTTAAAAGAACATTAATATAAAGCCCAGGCTTGTGAACTAAGCATGAGTAAGTATTATTGGAGGGCAAACATTCAGCGTGAACCTGAAAAGGCTGCCACTCGTCGTAAATTTCAATCTAGTATATTTGGCTAACGGATGGGTAGATGGCAGAGTGCCAAAATCTAAGTCCTTAAGCCTCATTAAGCCATTAAGGGTGACAACACATTTGAATTTTGATTTTTAATTGAAGATTCATAAATATGTCTATGGGCCACAGCATCCACCTACCACAAGGTGTCGTTATCGTTTGTCACCCTTATTCTTTAAAAATATCTTAGTTAAGCGGCATTTAGTACTAATAGATTTATTTCAGTCATATACCAGTTAGTCAAGAAATTCACGCTTGATATGTCACATAATATGTCAAAGGCGACTTATATAAAATTCTATTTATTAGCTATTATCCTTTCTACAGAGGTGACTTCGAACGCAAAACAACGCGTTTGTTGTATTTATGTCATTGATGGCTCCGTGGCGCAATGACTGCAGGGCCGTGGGTTCGAATATCGCACAATAAAAGTGTTTGTATCATCTACAAATAATTGTTCCGCCATCAGCAGCATCTTCTTGATAACAACTCAAAATAATGAAAAACTGCGGTCGTTAACCTGCCGACCAATCGTGGCAACTATGACTAAATCCCCCCTACGAGGCAATTCTTATGCGGAGGCCAGTTATCTGGTTTTTTATCAATTTTTTTACATAGGCATTTTATACCTTTTCTAGCCTGTAATCGATGGATGAATATTAAAAAGTAACAGAAAAACGCTGTGAACAAACGCCTTCATCAATTGATAATGAGAATAACAATATATGATCTAAAATAATTATATATCTATCTTTGTTTGTTCTACTAAATAAATAAGTAACATTGACCATTGATTACTAGAATTCTTTTTAGTGCGTAGAGTTATCTGGTTTTTTTATCAATTTTTTTTAAGTATCATTTTATTACTTTTTTTTAACCACAATGTTTTTAATTCTTTCCGCTATCAATTGAAGGATACTAAATTTCTTAATAACTTCTTGACGACTTCTATAATAGGTTTTATTTTAAAACATCGCACTACAAACTTGATACATAATGATAAAAGAAAATCGGTCGTTTCTGAATTTCGCTTATAACCTGCACCACAACAAAATGGACACGCATTGTTTAGTTCAGGAGCGCTGCGTTTGAATTGTGATAGTAATCTATGGCCGATGGCAAACGGCTTTTGGATTCCGTTCAATTCATTATGAATTTTAGCCTCGCAAACTACCAGCTATTAACATATGCAGTTTTCATTTTACGACTGAAATAAACAACGTACAGATTATAAAGCATAATAATTTATATGTAGATTTGCTTTACTAATTATATAATTTTTTTAAACTTAATTATTGCTATGAATTGCATTAACAAAAGATTAAAGAGTATACAAATTTACTTTTTATAAGCTGCAAGATAATTACGACGGCTCAGGGTCACTGAAGGTAATATGTAACAGTAACGCCTGCATATTAATTAGAGGCAATCGTTAAGCGTTCTAGTTTAATTAAGGTCTAATTATTGCTATCATAAAACGAACATGTGTTATTAATATATAACTATTTAATTAGATTAAACCATCTACGAGAAAAATAAAACTAAGGTAAAGTTAGTAGTTTGCAAATTACATATATTCATTATAAATTATCAAATGTACACTGCTGAAAATAGGCCTCCTAAATTGTTTTTTTTACACGATAGGGTGACAAACGAGCACACAGTCCACCTGATGATAAGTGGTTGCTGTGGCCCATAAACATCTACATCTATCCTCGATTACGAATCAAAGAAAGAAGAAAAATGCAGATTCGTTGTCACCCGTGAGGGTCTCCGGCTCTCTACACTCACCATACGAAACACAGCACCATTAAGCTACTATTTGACGCTGGTATTCTGTGAGAGCGTGGTCCTTCCCCGGTCGAGCCGACCCATTCGTGCTACAAGTATACTACTAATATAACTGCAGCATGGCTCTACCACGTATAAAATATGATTGACCCTTGAAGCAATATTTTCCATAGTTGCCACACTTTGCTGCCGGGTTGGCAACGACGTTTTTTGTTATTTTAAGCTGTTATGAGGAAGCTATTGCTGCTCGTTTCCTGTTTTAATTACCTCGGTCGTCTTTTCCGAAACGTAAGGTACGATATAAAATATAGTAGATTTTCTGCCACTTGGTAGCGCTTGAGAAATAATTTATTTACTTTGATACTTAAAAATTAATTCATATATAAAAAATATTATCGTCTTTTGCAGTTTCATAAGAACGCAAACCAGCGTTTGGCAAAATTACGACACAGTAGCGTGCCCGTGTTCTAATAATTTTGCGGAAGCATAACTCCACGCACATGGAGCCAACGAGTGCGGGGTCCGGTGGAATTTAAAGCTGTGTCGTTGTTGCCAAATTGTACGAATATCGATAAGTTAGACCTAACAGGGGACCGCCATGACGCGGTAAAACTTGCGTTATGGCTTGGCATTGTCGTTCATTTATAAAAGAACCGAATTTATAAGCGGAACTTATTTGATTACATATTGTTTATAATAAATACCACATAAAAAATTGTAATAGTTTCATACGTGGTAGAGCTACGCTGCAGCTATATTATAGTTACTATAATACACGACACTCGTGCTACACGAATGGGTCGGCTCGACCGGGGAAGGACCACACTCTCACAGAATACCAGCGTTAAATTATATTAGTGGGTGTATTAAGTGTTATAATATTATAAAACACAAAATTTCACTTTTACTATTACTATTATTTCACGGAGTTTTTTCAAAGTGTAGTGTTTGCGTAAATATAATAAGAAATAATTATGAGAACCTCCTTTTCCTGTATCTACAAATTAGCAAAACCAACGAAATTTACCCACCCAGAAGAATAGTAGAATGACTGATCTGTGCTAGTTGCCATATTTTATTATTGTTGGTTTCGTATGGTGAGTGTAGAGAACCGAAGATCTTTTTTTATATAGGATAGGATGACAAACGAGCACACAGTTCACCTTATAGTAAGTGGTTGCTGTGGCCCATAAACATCTACATCTATCCTCGATTATGAATCAAAATGCAGATGCGTTGTCATCCGTGAGGACTTAGGTGGAATGCCACGTTTCCAGTAAAAAGGGTCCCCGGTTT